TGTGTGTGTGTGTGTATATATATATATATATATATGTATGTGTGTGTGTATATGTATGTATGTGTATGTATGTATGTATATATATATATATATAAACAGTGACTACAGATCACTTGATGCTTCCTGTCAGCCGACCCTCCAGTCCACACGTAGCCACGGGCGGAGACTCTACAATACACACAATTACTAGGCCGTGTTACATATGTCACACATGGCTGTCTGCGACTCCATCAGATGTCGTACTGTCATCACTTTCCATCCTCTGCCATTGCGGGACACAGCAAAGCTCCTCACTGTCATGAAGTCAGCTTAGAAAACCGGTCCGTGCAGAGTGTACTACAAGAAACCGAGTGGCCGAACCCTGGTAGTTCCGCCAGTGGATCTGGTGATTAAGGGGGTGACATTAATTTGCTCTGTACATGTTGTTCTTACCCCACAAAGTTTAACAGCAGCAAACCGTGTGGTTTGGTGGCATACTTTTTGTTTTTGTTTTTTAAACCTAAACCTGTTCATTAACTCACTAGAGAATTCAGGTTTCCTGTCAGTGGTTAGTGCACACAGCAGAGACTAGACCTGAGTAACCAGCGGGTTCTGGCACATGATGGTTCCCAGCCCTGATGAGCTGTTTACAGGAATATTCCTTTTCTGTGACATAAACATAGATTTGTACCCCTCACAATCTACACTGTTCAATGACAGCTCCATTTCCCCCAATACATTCACTCCTCCACTCCCTCCTTTAATCTTTTGCAGCCTGGTCATGTCAGCATTTGTTAGTTCTACACTCCAACCTGATCTCTGGTCTCACAAACCCCTGCTGCATTCACTTGCTGATTGTGTGTGCTTTGTATGGTAAAAAGCATTCTGCACCCCCCCATCCTCCATAATGCTGTCCTGTTTACGGTATGGTGTCTCTAAATATTGTCCCCTGACTGCTATACTGACAAACTCCCAAGCAGATATTAATTACTAATTGACATTGCATTTTTATGTTGTGCATGTACTAAGTCCTGTCATGGCTGTTGGAAACAGCAGCATTCTCAACTTCACCCATCAGGAGAAAGGGGTCATACATGATCCCTCCACTCAGTCCATGATCAGCTTCCTATCAGCCTCCACTCTCTTCACCCTCCAGTCCTTGACCAGTTCCTGCTTTGTATTTTCTTAGTGTAATATGCTGAACTGGCAGGCCTCTCTCCCATTCACCCCTCAGAAACAATCAATTCTCATTCCATTTCCTTTCTCGGGTGTTATTGATCAGCTCCTCTTTACCTCCCTCTCCTCCAGCCCTTGAGCTCTCCTTCCATACCCAGCAACCACACTAAGCCTCGCCATTCTTGGGTCCAATGAAAGACCCGGGTTCAAGGGGGCTCCACCTGGATAAATATAAAGATAGCACAGGTAATTGCAGACAACTCATGCAGCACATACATAAACAGAGAAGGAAATATTTTATCATTTGATAAGTCTTAAAGGACAAGTGTACTATGAAGGGTCTTTCGTTGAAGTCAGTAGAATTCAGGACAGCCATACATGGTGGTGTAATGTAGCACTGGAAAAATGCTAAAGCAAGGTTGCCCAACACTGCTCAAGCCATATGCAAAGATATATGTGGAGCTGTGGTTTAGGCAAGTATAACCTGTTGCAAAAATGCTCAGCATGGAGTGGATGAGCCAGAGGTGCACTTAATCTTTAAATGTAATATATGACACAAGAAAGATTCTTCAACAAGTGGAATCAGATCTGGATTCCTTTACCTCCCAAATGCCAATATGCATGACATGTATGGAGCTGTGCTGCAGCTGTGTTCTAGCCCTATGCTTATAATAGGAGAGTATGAACTTTCTGTGTGCAATCATGTGCTTAAAAGTGACTCTGTTATGGTTTAAAAATAACCTGAACAGGAAGTGCGCTCTGCAAAGCAAGTAATTAATACCTACCTATCACTTTTGTGTGCACTACTGAACTCTGCTATACAGCACATTTTCTGTTTAACATTCCTTGGAAATACTGGATGCTGGCATCCCTCACTATGCCCTATGGTTCCTTTCCCCATCACGGCAGCAGGGCACCAAGAATCCTACACATTGAGATGTGTTCAGATGCAGTAGAGCTTTTAGTGAGACTGGAAAGTTTTAACTGCCTGCTTTGCCGACTTTGGCATTAACTGGTTTTGTAGAGTACTGTAAGGGTTTGTTCTCACCGTAGCTTGCATTAGCATGCATATGTGCTAAAATGTGTTTTTTAACTTGCATTGTGATGCCCTGCAATGTGTTTTAACAGGCATTACAGTGCATTTTTTATTACCTCTCTTTTTTTTTTTAACTTGATGCTTTTACCATACACAAACATGTTACCTGTCCTAATTTTGTAGATCACATACTAACACAGGACATAAGGTTATTTTCCTTGTCCTTGCAATGGGCAATACAGCTCAACAATGATGGTGTGAAACGAAGTAAAACAGAATTACATCATTTTTTTTCATACAGTTTTTCACTTGATTTGTTACGGTTTTCGGATCTGTGCAAATCTTGTAAACTCTTAGTATGACTATGAACTTACTCTGGATGCATGCTCCAACAATGTCTGAAAGTCACGGTTACTGTGATAACAGCAGAGCATATTGATGTGTGTTCAACTTAGGAGCAGGCAGGTGTGCAGCTGAATTGGTTAAGATTTAGGGCAGCAACAGCTATTTGATTATGTGATTGAGTGAGAGAGAGGGAGAGATTTTTTTTTTAATGCAACCAATCGATTAGTTGAAAAATAATCAGGCAACTAATTGATTATGAAAATAATCGTTAGCTGCAGCCCTAGTAAGATTGGGTGAGATTTAATTAAAAGAGTTTGAAAAAATGGGATTACACTTTTTGACATGTGTAAAATCATATTTGGTTTGAAGTGCACTTTAATCTTTAAAAAAACAAAAACAGAGTGCATCCTTTCATAATTTAGATCACTCTAATTTAAGGATGTTCACATACCAGTGCCGATACTTGACATTTTCACGAGAACTACAGCCGATTGCAGCTGCGACTGGGCTCTGGCGCTCCACCACTGTCCTGAAATCATTAGTCTGTATTGTTTTGGGAAAAACTGTCACATGACAAAAAGGTATCAGTAATTGTATCTTTGAGGATAAGTATTGCTATTTGTACTTGGTCTGGAAAAAATGGTATTGGTGCATTATATATATATATATATAAGACAAATCATACATTAAAACAGGAATGCACAAATCCCAGGAGCCCTGTAGCCAGTGCTCCTTTAAAATTGACAGCTGCCTCCTAACTTTTGAGTTTTTCTCCAGTCTAGTCTTCGAGCTCTCTGTCTGTCCAGGTCATGGTATATCTGTAAAAAATAAGTCAAATCAACTAGACTTGCTGTGTATTTCTTGAAGACGTTTCACTGGTCATCCGGCCAGCTTTATCAATTCAGAATGACTTGTAAACACTGAGGCAACAACTGGTTCACCCAAAAGACCCAACGTCAAAACACAAGCTGAAGAACATTGTGTATGCAGTCCAGTGCAGTGAGGAGTGCTCAGAATTGTATGTCAGTGAAACAAAACAGCAGATCAACACCTGGTTGTGAATTGGGAAAGCTGGTTGGATGACCAGTGAAACGTCTTCAAGAAAAATACAGCAAGTCCAGTTTCCTTGACTTACTTTTCCAGCTCCAAGACTATCTCTAAAAAATATCAGTACTTGTACCAAGTACAGTACTTGGTATCTGTGCATTTCTACTCTAGATCTGCCACTGTTTTCTGCTTACTGTAATTGAAATTTGCCTTTGCTATTATATACAACTTTACAAGCAATATCAGGCCCCATTCACATGGGGACACATGCTGCATTCTGGTGTCCCTGTTGAGATGCGGCCACTCTACCCATTGACATTAATGACAGGGTGACCGTGGCCACATCTGTCAACGGCAGTCCACATGTAATCATACATGATCCGTTTACATGCAGTTCGGGATAGGTGGTTGTCCCTGGATGCAGGATAGATGCATCCAGGGACAGTCACCTGTAGAAATATCCCCAACACGCTCTGTACCGATATATATATTTTCTGTTCAATTCCTTTTGTGCTGGAACAACCGGCGGATGGCGCCACAACAGACACTGAACGATACGTTATCCGCACACCAATCTGTTTCAGAATGTCATCTTTATTAACAGTCTTGCAATCAGTTCAACGTTTTGGGACCACCCACGTACCCTTCGTCAGGCACTATGGATTATTCACTATTTGCTTGAGGAAGGGACCCTGCACAGTCCCTGAACTTTGCATTGCCTTATAATATGTTGCAAGAATGTTAATAAAGATGACATTCTGAAGCAGATTGGTGTGCAGACAACGTATCTTTCAGGGCCAGTCCTCTATTCCAAACCACATGTAAATGTATCATTAACTTCAATGAGTACAGTGGCCGCATCTCAACAAAGGGATTCCTTCCACAGAAATCTGTAGGTTCTTGCTGTCAGAGTCCTAGAACTCTCTGCGTGAACGTAGTCTAAAGCTGGGTATACACTGATAGCGTTTGGAAAAAACTTTCGTATGTAAAATCTGGTCAGAACAATAAAAATGATATGTAATAAAAAAAAGAAAATGCCATCAGAGACTTGACAAATGTCGCTTGATTTTAACATTTGATTTAGGAATGAATGGAGTTTCCTGAATGAATACCACATTCACTTTTAGAATTTTTGGTTTGATAAAAATCTTCCATCCTGCTACTTTTTTTTCGTTTTTTTT